CAGCCTGGGCTATATAGGACCCTGTCTCAACAAACAAACCACATTACCAACAAAATTATCGTGGGTTTCACTGTAATGGTATGAGGAGAGCAGAAAGGAAGAGAAAGCTTTCCTGGGGTTTATCTCTTGCTCTGGCTGCTGGCCACCACGGCCACCACAGCTATAGACTGCTGAGCAAGCATCTGGCTAAGGTAGGCATCCTAATATAAGAGATCATGGTGGCACACATCACCATTACATGAGCCTAACTTTCTAAGGCATTTCTCAGGCCTGAGCACAGTACAGAAAATTGCAGTTTCAAGCTTACAACAGTGGCACCAACATTTCAGAGGTGAGCACAGGTCAGCCAAATCCTGTCTCATCCCACTATGTGTTAGCACAGTATCTAACTAGCCAGCTCTAAGAAAGAGACAGAAATAGTCAAATCATTCCTGGAAATAATCATTCTTCTGTATATAAAAAAGACAAAAAGAACACAGGGCCTCAGAAAGTGGATTTCACTTTCTTTCACAATCACTTTTGTGGCTAAGAAACAAACAATTTTCTGTGTTTATCTTCATTCTTAAAGTTTACTTTAGCATTTTTATGAGTATTAGGAAAAGCCCCCAATTACAGTCTATTTTAGAAAAATTCTGACTGGAATATTATAAAATTTAATCACTAAGGGCAAGTCAGTAAGGCTGTAACAAAATTTAAGACTAAATCATCATAAGCACTATTTTTAACTATAAAGGAAAATTTATTATGAAGTCTAGAGCTGGCATTCCATTTAAATAATAATAATAATAATAATAATAATAATAATAATAATAATAATAATAATAAATAATATCTCTTTTGTTTGAGGTCTGCCAGACAAGCTCTTTCTGATCACACTGGCAAGTAATTGCCTTTTCATGTCTAAACCAGTTCATCTGCTAAATCAACACAAGGAAGTGCTTTTATATTATCCTGGCTTCAGTGCAATTTCTTAAGTGGCTAAATAAAGAATTCAACTTTGAAATAGTGCTGTCTACAGAAATTTTAAAAAATATCTAAACTTAATACTAGGAAAATTCATTAGCATGTCACTGTGTTTTTGAGTTAACATTCCTACTGTCTACTACAAAAACACAGGAACCGCTATCTACTTTGGCTTTACTGACAATGCAGAAAGAAAAAACACTGATTCTGCTAAAAAATTTTGTCATGAAAAGAAAGTAACTACAGGATGCAAAAGCCACAAGAACTCCCTTTAAAGAAAATCTCAGACAATATTTTAAGGAAAGGAATGGAAACTGAATACAGGAATACCCAGGCAACACATGCAATAAAACAACACTGGTAGAGTCCAGTGGAGAAACTGAGGAAAAATAACACCTGTACAGAACCAAGCAGAAATAAGCAGAAGCAAGTCAACCTCCAAAGATGAGCACAAGTGCATGTACACATACATAAAACAGAAAAGAAAGACACCCAAAGGCAAACATGTCTGCAAAGAGAACAGGCCACGCATAGGAAAGGGGAGCACTATCAATACTGGCCTTAGTTTATTTTTATTTTTAAGTGTGTGTGTGTGTGTGTGTGTGTGTGTGTGTGTGTGTGTGTGTGAGAGAGAGAGAGAGAGAGAGAGAGAGAGAGAGAGAGAGAGAAAGGGAGAGAGAGAGAAATGACTCTAGCTTATGTCAAGTTGACAAAACCTCACTAGCCAAACTGTATGACCAAAGCAATTATAGAAAGAAGGGGTTATTTGGAATTACAGTTCTAAAGAGGTAAGAGTCCATCACGGCGTGGACACATGGCAGCAGGTGGCTATCACGGCATCAGGAACATCTGAGAGCTCACACCTTGAACCACAGCAGGAAGCAAAAATTGAGAATATGAAGTGGCATGCATCTTTAAACTCTCAAGGCCCATCCTCCAACAAAGCCACACCTGCTAAGCATGCCCAAAGAGCACCTCCAAGTGGGGACCAAATATTCAGATGTCCAAGACTATGGCGAACATCTTATTCAAACTACCACACTACTTAATGATATAAAAATAGGTCAGACTAGTAAAGACATGACGTGAAAATCCCAACTGAATCTACGTAAATACAAAGCTAACTCTGGATAACTGGTCACCACATTTATAAGCAGGTTACAAAGATGGTAACTATTTATAAAAAAAAAAAAAAAAAAATTACTTTAAATTGTATGAGTGTTCTGCCTGTGTGTATGTGTGCATGCATGCATGTATGTGCACCATATGAGTGCTGTGTTCATGAAGGCTGAAGAGGGCATTGGATCCTTCTAAGCAGGAATTAAGATGACTGTGAGCCACTGTGTGGGTGCCTGGAACTGAACTTGGGAATGCTAGAGGAACAGCCAGTGCTTTTAACCATGGGCTATCTCTCCAGGCCCCTGTTTAATCTCTTAATAAAACTGTGCAAATTTAATTCTGTTATGCCAAAGCTCCATAAATCATATTTTGATAAAACTAGATAGTAAAAATAAATTCTCAGTCAGTAAAAAAAAAAACAAACAAAAAAACCCAACCAAAAAAACAAAACAAAAGTTACAAGAAAGTTTAGGAGCAAAAGAAGAAAATAAACACAAAAAAGTCAAGTGAACTCAACATTCTCTAAATAATAATATATTGATGCTGACTCATGTATTGCAAGGAGATTCAGATTAGTTACAAAATAAGCAAATTATAATTTTTCCAAGTGAAATGCCAACAAGTCAAACACAGACAACAAACAAAAACCCAATAACTTAAAACCTACTAAAGTACAAAATGGAGCCAAGCAGTGGTGGCTCACACCTTTAATCTGAGCACTCGGGAGGCAGAAGCAGGCATCTCTGTGAGTTCAAAGCCAGCCTGCTCTACTGAGTGAGTCCCAGGATAGCCAGAGATACACAGAGAAACCCTGTGTCATAAACAAAAAACATCCCCTGCCCTCCCCTCACCAAAATACAAAATGTGAGACCTAGATATGCTAGGCTGACTCAACGGGATAGGTGGACATAAGTAAAACATGTAAAACAGAGTTGGCACTATCATAGCTCATCAAGGCTAAAGTCAGAGCACTGGGAGCACGGGGTGAATGAGGACAGAACACAGGAGTCACAAGGAAAACAGCAGAAGCCATTGACCAACGTGACCAAACACTGCACCATAGTTAACTCCTTTGCTCTACCTCCCCCTGCAAAATGCAAATTCAAGTCCTTGCCCTGTTCTCTTCTACATTCCTACACTCTACATGGATCTCATGCACTAAGAAATCAACAAACAGCTATTCAGAAATGAAGATGTAATCATGACTCACTGGGTAAAGAGTTTGCTGCAAAAGCAGAGGACTTAAGTTCAAATCCCCAGAACCCTTTTAGGGCTAGGTGTGGTTACATGTGTCTATAATCCCAGTGCTACAGTGAGATGGTAGGTGGACACAGGAGAATCCCCAGAAGCTCCAGAAGAGCTTTGGCATATGCAGTGATGAACAATACCAAGACCCCCAGACACACACAAACACATACTCACACGTGTACATGTGCATGTGCATGTGTACATACACACACAGGCATCATACAGACATAGAAACAAAATGGAGAAATACTAAGGTCACATCATCAATGTTTACTGAATGATGGAGTTTAAACATTAGTCTTTCTAAGTGACCTCTAATATGAAACCTAGGGCTTTTACAAAAAAAAGTGAGAATTTCAGCCTTTTATGTCTTAATTTATGACTCTACATTTAACCCCTAGGCTAAACAACACCACCTTACATGATACAGTTCTCTTTTTCTTTGGTGTGCATACACCTATATAGATTAGAGATTGACAGTGGGTATCTTTTTTGATGGCTTGTCACCTTATACACTGAGGCAGGGTCTCTCAATTGAACTTAGTTTATTGATTCAGCCAGTCTAGCTAGACAGCTTGCCCCGAGATCCTTGCTCTGTCTCGATAGTGCTCTGGTCACAGTAAAGTCTCCACACCCACCCAGCATTTGAGGATGCTAGGAATCTAAACACTTGTCCTTATGTTTGCAAGGAAACTGATTTATATAATGAGTCATCTCCTTAGCCTTGATTTTTTTTTTTGTCTTTATTGAATCGATTTTCTACACTATTCACAACATATAGTTTACCAGTAAGTGAGACTTGCAAATTAAAAATATATACTTATTAATGTGAATTATAATGAAAAGTAAGTCACGCACAGTCAATCAATGCAGAACCCAGCCCTGTGTGCTCCCTGAGGGCAGCAAAAGGATAGATACCTGTGCTTCCTCTGACAGCCCCGCCCAGAACCTAGACTATCCCCACCCTTGGACAGGATGTGAAGCACTGATTCAAACAGCCGCTCCATGGAATCTATTTTGTTAGTGACATCTTGGAAATCAGTCTATACTTGTCACATGGAAGAGTCTGGCCATTCTCTTTCCACCTTCTATTTCTCCTCCACCCCTATCAGCCCTGTCTCCTGCCTATAGTCTCTTTCCCCTTTTTACTAGTTTTGCTTTTATTTAGTGCATCCCCCCAGAGTTTAATTAGGGCTGTCTCTGTGACTTCTAATTACACTTTTTAACAGCTAAAGTTGAAGTTAATGTTCACTATAATTGCAAAAGAAAATTAGTCATTGTGAGTCGATGAAGCTTATAATTTTTGAACATGTACATCTCAAATTTCCCTTGGCAACAAAACTGTCACATTAAAAATGACTTTGACTATCTTTGATGTAATTAATATGATTATATTGGAGATATTCTATTGACCTGAAAGAACACATAAAGATTTATTTTAGGAAGAAGAAAAAAGGAAAGAAATATAGAATATGCATATAAATCATAACAACAAAAAAACTGCTCAAAAATGTATAAATTATTTTAATACATACCTGCACTAGGCAGGGCTTAATGTCTAGCAACACACACACATACACACACACACACACACACTCTCTCTCTCTCTCTCTCTATATATATATATATATGTATACACACACACACACACACACTATATAATTACATACCAGGCTCCAACTTAATGATTTTCACCGCAGCTAATTCTCCTGTATGTACATTTCTGGCCTAAAAATGAAAATAGAAAAATTTTGTTAGTTATATAAATATTACAAGATACTACCCTAAAAATTGCTTATCAACCATGCTTTTAACAAAACAAAACCCCAAATCTTTTTTACCAGTAAAATGGATAAATTCATTTTCTCATTAAAGAAAAAAATAGAAAAGACACAAAAGTCTTTTTTAAAAAAATTACTTTAGTACCACTTCTCAAAAACAGCTACTGTTTAAATATTTTAGTATGTTTCCTACAATATTATTTCATTATGTGTGGGTTATTTTCTTAGTGTTATTTCTCAGGGGGAAAAAAAAAACTATTGGCTAGGTGGGGGGAAATAATTCAGGTGTTCTATTGCACAATACAGTGACTATAGATAATTATGTGCTGTGCATTAAATAGACTTTGTATCCACAAAAAAATTAAAAATGTTTCAAGTGACAGGTAGCCTTACCTTTACCTGTGCATATGCAATGTACCCATTTGCCAGTCCTGACCTCATAAGCATGTACAATTATCATGAGTTTGCTTACACAATGAACACAAGAGCTGGGCACCAGGGCACCAGCTGCAGTACTAACTACCGAGAGGCAGAAATGATCACAACAGTTCATTTGCAGTTCCAATAATATCAAAAATGATGTATGTCCTTATTGAGTCTATACATCTTCACCCTAAATTATTTCCTCCAAATGGTTTCTAAGAGAATGGAATTTCAAGCCAAAACTTATAAATACTTGAAGCTATGTACACAAACTTTTAAAACACCGTAATATTATATTCTTTTTTTTTTAAGTTATAAAGCTGTTGGCCAATGGCTAGAGCTTCTTATCAGCTAGCTCTGTCTTAGTATTAACCCATTTCTATTAATCTAAGTGTTTCTACATGATCTTATCTTACCAGAGGAAGGTCCGGGCCTCTTCTCTCATGTCCTACATCTTGATTCCTCTCTACTACCGCTCCTAGGATCTTCCCTGTCTCCTAGTCCCGCCTATCTTGCTTTCCTATTGGCCAACAGGGCTTTATTCATTAACCAATAAGAGAAACATATACAGAATAACATCTCCTATCATCTCCTATTTTCTGTCTAAAATAAAAAGAAGGACAACAATGTATTTGTATTACTAATAACAGAGCTCATTTTCGTTGTGACTAGTTGCATTTTGTGTATGAAAATTAAATGTAATTACTGATGACACTTTTACCTATTAGCTTTAAATGCCAACTTTTGGCATAAAAATAAGTACTATACAATAAAAGAGGCTAGAATGGTTTTGGTAATTTGCTGGATTGGGTTAATCATATAGTTAGAGAAATAAGAAAAGAGAAGGAACTTAAAGAACAAAGATACAGGGAGGAGAAAGCTAGTGGAGCTACCTTTTGAATGAGCCAGAGGCTGAGAAAGAATGGTGGAAAGAAGGAAAAGAGAGAAAAGCTAAAGAGAAGAGAATATTATCTTCAACGCTGATGATCCAACTGTACATGTCAAGTTCACATATTCCTCCTGAGGTGAATTAAGAACATTCATTTTAATTCCCCCATCTGCAGTCATCCCACCTCAAACTAAGAACATATTTAGAAAAAACAGGAGCACAGAATCCTCACAACACCCCTACAGCCTCTTTTTGTCCTCGAATAAAGAGCTATCCATTAATTTCAGGTCTTAGGGCTCTCACTGTGTCCAGCATCTGACTGAGTTGTAGAAGACTGGTTTGTATACCCTGGGGCTGCCCTTATGCCATGAGACCCAGGTACAGAAGGCACTGGAAGAGGTTACAGAATAAGCAGTTAACTGACCTTCTGAGAGTCTTCTCAGTGGATTATAAAATGTGTTATTAGGAGGCAGACTCCACAACGATAATGGCAATTGCACCTGTATTATTTTATGATTTGCAGAGTGCTTCATGTTATTTAGTTCAATTAATTTAATAATAATAATAATAATGAAAGATTCAGCTCAGTAAAATCAAATGACTGTCCAAGGCCAACCTGCAAAGGCAAGGGTCAGGTTCAGAACCAACCAACTGTGACAAGTGGCAGGGCTTCTTTCCAAAATGAGCATTCTCCTTTCTTCTTTAAAATGTAACAGGTACTTGAAAGTATTTAGTAACACTAATGACTTTCATTGAAAAAAAAAATCCATTAGTATAATCATCTTTTGCATTGATGGTTCCTCTGAGGATTATTTTATTCATCCATTCATTGCTGCATGTATAGTGGGGATAGATGCATGCTAGACAAGCTACATTCCTAGGTCCTTATTTTTAATGTCACATAATTTCAATTATTATACATTAAAATCTTTTTTTAAAAAATCTTAAAAGCTGAACTTAATCCACAGAAAATATTCTTTTATATAATCTGCAAACAAATACACACACACACAGAGAGAGAGAGAGAGAGAGAGAGAGAGAGGCAGAAACCTTCTAACGTGTAAAATTACCTTGAAGGATGGGATAAAATCAAGTTCAGACTAAATGCTTCTCTTATCCGCCTGTGGCAAACCAGCTGCTTGCGTGCTTGCAAGTCAGCACGTTTCCTGACTTGCATTCTTTCTCTAAGGTAATCTTTTACACTCTTCACTGGAATTCTATAGAACACAGGAAAGCATCAACAGACAGAGTAGAATTTCCTTATCGGGAAGGGGGGCTTAAGAATAGAGGCAACAGAACACCAGAAAGTACCACATAAAACCACAAAACGGCAGTGGCCCGAAGTCTTAGGTAAGAAACATTAAGATTCAATGCATGAGACACTGATTGATTAACACAATTCCAAACACAAACTACTCTCTAGACATTCTTTATTCCAAGTCTTGCTGGTATCTCAAGGCCAGTTCAGTGTGTAGTCCCCAGGTCATGAGCCTTTAGTGGACTGACACTTGGTAGGTGTCCTACCAATCCTGTGAATACCAGAACTACATAATCCAACCTCCTGACACTAGGACAAACTAGGAGACTGAAAACACACTGAATCACTTTGTTCTTGCTTACGCTGTTTGACTGCTATTTTTATTTCCACAATTAAAGAGGAGTTCGGAGGGAAAGGCGATGGAAGTTATCACAGAGTCAGATTTTGTTGTAAAAAATGAAAACGAGTCAGCAAATGCGGTAGTCCTCTCCATCTTACCTCACCTCTTTGGTGACTACTGCTGACAGTTTACAGTACTTGCCTCCGGGCTTTGGATTAGGTTAATTTTTTTCAAGGTGTATTTATATTATCTGTGTATGGGACTCTTGCCTGCGTGTATGTCTGTACACCACTCACATGCCTGCTGGTCAAAGAAGTCAGATGAGGGATTCAGATCTCCTGGAACTGGAGTTACATCTAGCTGTGAGCTGCCATGCAGGTTCTGGGTCTCAAATCCTGGTCCTCCTGTAGAACGACCAGTGCTCTTAAGTGCTGGGCATATCTCCCCAGTCTGGGTTAGATGGAAGTTTAAGAGTACACATGCACAGACATGGACACCGAGAATGTGTCTGTTTCTTACAAAGCTAACCAGTCTTAGCATATGACCTAGCAACCTCTGCTTCTAGGCATGTACCCAATTGAAATGAAGACTTCCTTCTATATACAAACACTAACAGCAGTCAATCCATAATGGCATTAGACGGGTGACAATCACAATGTCACCCAATAGATAAATGGGTAATTGGTACATCTGCTGGGCTTAAAAAGACATGAGCCAACAAGCCATTAACACAGATGGAAGAACCTTAGATACAGATGGTAAACTAAAAGCCATCTGAAGAAGCTCTAAATCTAAATACAATAAGCTATACATATAACCCCACCTATATGACATTAAAAGGTAAAGCTACAGAAATGGGAAAAAGTATAATGGCAACCACAAGCTCCATACCAATACTAACCAAACAACCCCAACAAAATCTAAAGTAAAAAATGCTGTCAGGTGGTTAGAAAGAGAAATAAATAGGTGACCTGCAGAGGATTCTTGGGGGCCATCAGGATGTTGTTCGTGAAGACATAACCCTGGAAGCACAATGCCAAAGACAAACTTTACATAAACTAAGGGATACAGAAGCACAGTAGTTATAAGAAACATGACACACTAATGCAAAATGACAATAGAAGCTGAGGCTGTATATAGGCTAGGAATAGACACATAATTCCGCAAACTGTCCAATTTGTAAATATAAAACTGTACAAAAATTAATTCTACTAATAAAAACATTTTAAAATTATTTTTCAAGACTGTACCCGTTCAGACACGTTTTAAAGTCAACTTTAAAGATTGGAACTGTGTAAACTGACGACATGACTGCTCTTGGGGATGGTTAAAGGGGAGGTTTTCATTGTAGATATGAGAGGGAAAACTGCCAGAGGCATGCGGAAGAGTCCAGAGCAGAGAGAGAAAAAAGCCTGGATATGGCCAGGGCTATCTGTAAGAGGGGTAGAAGAGCAGGGGATGGAGAGTAGAGAGAGCATGAGAGAGATAGGAGCAGAGCATAAAAACCACAGTGAGACTAGCAGGGTTATAAGGACAACGACTAGCCTCGGGGAGGGAAGCTCATGAACTGGAGGAGTTTGGGGTAGGGAGGAGGTGAGAAGGGCCAGGATGCTAGCATGGACTTTGAAATGTGTAGTAGGCACTTGTGACACTGAAGGAGCCTGGAAGCCAGCAAGGGCTTTGATAGGACGATAGGTGCCACAGGTAACATGTCCCTTCTAGAAGTAAGGGAAACTTACTTTTGGTAGATGGAACTAGTTTTACAAGTTCCGAGGAATGTTAGCTTTTATCTAACTGCCAGAAACCCTCCTATAGTCCTGGTTGAGCTCATTTCTGACTGTCTTTTGGGGTTTGGGGAAGTGGTGTTTCCTTTGGACCTGAAGAAAAAGCAAGGCGCAAGGACTCATGGCTTTTTTTTTTTTTTTTTTTTTTTTTTTTTTTCCTTTCAGAGTTGCTCAGAAAGAAACAAGGCTTTGGAAAATTTGAAAACAACTATGGAACCACAGAAAGATGGTATTTTAAAACTCAGCCGCACTG